TGTATTCTATGTCTATGAGTCTATTTCTGTTCTGTATTTATTGTCTTTGTTTTTTTTTTTTTTTAGATTCCACATATGAGCGATCTCATATGGTATTTTTCTTTCTCTTTCTGGCTTACTTCACTTAGAATGACATTCTCCGGGAGCACCCATGTTGCTGCAAATGGCATTATGTTGTCGATTTTTATGGCTGAATAGTATTCCATTGTATAAATATACCACATCTTCTTTATCCAGTCACCTGTTGATGGACATTTAGGCTGTTTCCATGTCTTGGCTATTGTAAATAATGCTGCTATGAACATTGGGGTGCAGGTGTCATCCTGAAGTAGGGTTCCTTCTGAATATATGCCCAGGAGCGGGATTCCTAGGTCATACGGTAAGTCTATTCCTAGTCTTTTGAGGAATCTCCATACTGTTTTCCACAGTGGCTGTACCAAACTGCATTCCCACCAGCAGTGTAGAGGGTTCCCTTTTCTCCACAGCCTCTCCAGCATTTGTCATTTGTGGACTTTTGAATGATGGGCATTCTGACTGGTGTGAGGTGATACCTCATTGTAGTTTTGATTTGCCTTCTCTCAATTCTTATTTAAGTCTCTGCCTAAACATGACTTCTTCTCAGAGTCTTCCCTGACCACCTAATGAACACCATCTCCCTGTTCAGCCTCTTCATAACGTTCGCCTCTACTTGAATTTATTTCTGTGTTTGTTTATATTCTGCTTTGCCCCAGTGAACGAGGGAAGGATATTGTTTTTCTTGGTCACCCCTGTATCCTGAGTGCCTAGAAAAAGGCCCAGGACAGAGCCAGGAGCTCTTTATTTATTTATTTTTTAATTTAACAGAGGTCCTGGGATTGAACCCAGGACCTCATGCATGTTAAGCATATGCTCTACCACTGAGTTATTTCCCTCCTCCCTTAATCACTATTTACTGAGTGAATGAGTAGATGTCATTTTGCCAACTAGACTGTAAACTCCAGACAATAGGGATCGGTTACTTCCTAGAAAGAGTCAGCACTAGGCAATTATTAAATAACTATTTCTTGTTATTATGTAGGAGAAAAAACTCTACGATGAGGGGCCAGGGGACCAGGATCCAGGCCACTCATTTGATCTTGGACTTTGGGTCATAATGTCTCCTCTTTTGGTCTTCCCTGGAGGGGGTTGAGCTTGGGCTTGGATTTCTGGGGCAATCCACTCTCCCATCCTAGGCAGATGTTGACAACCAACAAGTGCAATATTCGGCTGTCCTGGGGCACCAGTCACAGCTTGATGGCAACATGGCCACCTGCTCCACTCTCCCTTCCCAAGTCTCTGTCTTGGGCAGTTCGCTTACCATTACCTGGGTGCCCCTTGAGTCCAAGGCTTGAGTTGTTACAGAATGTAAGTTCATGTGCCCAATGCACAGTGAAGCCAAACTGACACATCAGACTTTGGAGCAGAGAAAGGTTTATTGCAGGGCCAAGCAAGGAGAACAAATAGCTCGGGCTTAAAAACCCAACGGTTTTCTGGGAGAAGTGTTTATATGCAAAATTTGGGGTGAGGGCTGCAGGGTGTATGACTTCCTTGATTGGTTGATGGTTAGGTAACAGGACAGTGTTCCAGGGATGTTGTGAAGTTACCATCCTCCACCTGGGTGGAGGCCTTAGTTCCTGCAGAAGAACTCAAAGATATAGCTATGTATACTCCTCGAGGAGAAACCAAGACCCTGCCCCAAGACTGCCCTATTGTTTCTTGACTATTCCTCCCTAGTTTCTGGACTCCTTCCCTTCCCTGATTAGCAAATGTTTGAATCTGCCCTTTGGAACGTGGGGAAGGTCTGGGAGGCTGAACAAAGCCTACTTCATACAAACAAGAAACAGGGGACAAGGAAATGATTTGTACCCGGGAAGTCCCCACAGAGCCTCTGTCTGCCTTCCCCATGTCCTCCTGAAGGCAGTGCTGTCCACCTAGGCTCCCAGTCCAGAAAACTGGTTAGTTTTCACCTCTCCTTTCTCATTCTCACTCTGTCAGCCAATTAGTCAACAACTCTTGCTGATTTTACCTCCTGAGTTGCTCCTGAATCCATCTCTCCTTTTTTCTCCCTTTCCCATCACTGCCACAGTCCAGCTCCCCTGGACTTCTGCAGAGGCCTCCTCACTGGTCTCCTTGCCTCTGCTCTGGTTCCCTCAATCCCCTTTTCACCCAAATGTCAGAGTGAGCCTTCAGACACCAAACCTGCTTAATGCCCATAAATGCCTGCTCATGCCCTTAGGATAGACTTCACACATCACCCTCCTGGAACTGCATCTGGCCCCAGCCCTCACCCCACCCCCAACTCCTACAGCTCCTCAGCCCTCAAAGTCACACCCTATCACTTCTTTCAGTTCCCTGTAATGCGCAAGCTTGCCCCCTGGCCTCCAGCCTTTGCATTTACTGCATGGTACCCCTTCCCCTCCCAAGCTCCTGCAGAGCTCAGTTTAGAACCTCCTCCTCCAGATTGCCTTTGCTGACTGCTGACTACACCTCTGGGCTGTAATCCCACCAAACCAGTGTTTCACCTTTCACAGCCCCTTTCATCCTAACTACCTGGCTGTCCCTCCACCCACCAACCCACCTCCCCTACTTGACCTTGAGTTCCCTAAGGGCTAGATGGTATCTGTCTTGTTCACTCTCTCAATAAAAACACAGATTTTGATACACAGCAGGCAATTAGCAAATATTTTTTTCTTTTTTATTATTTTTTCTTTTTCTTTTCTTTAATTTTTTTTTTTTTTTAG